ATGTCATGGATTCAAGCAATTGCGTTTGTAGGATGTGTATGCATTATTAATGATTAAGAAATAATATAAATATATATATTACATTATAATCATTACAGATTATTCAAAAATAATAATAACATATTCCTCATAGATAATTCAAATTCGAGCAACACCATTTGTCAAAGTGTATATAAATTTTATCTAGATTAATATAAAAAATATATTATCATAAAATCATATTAAGATACTAAAAATATAATTAATCAAATGTTTTAAAAAATATTAAATTCAATCTTAAGCAATGCATTAAAAAAAGTAAAAAAGTGACGGAATAAATGAAGTTTTCCTTAAATCACTTGAACAAACCTCATCTCGAAACATGTGAACATGGGTCATATATCAATTTAGTGTATTTCATTAATAAAAAAAAGGAATAGTTTAAGGATTGAACTGTAGGACAGTGGTGGAAGCAGGGTTTGTTTAGAGTAGGCACCATGGTTTTCAGAATCGGACCGGTTAGTAAATCAGTCATGCTATCGGTTCATCGGTTCAATCGGTTAAATCGGTCAAATCGGTCTGACCGGTCGAAAGAATCGGACGACGTCATAATTATTTAAAAAATTAAATAAAATTACCAAAAATATTTAATAAAAAATAATTTTTTATATTACAAGTTATATTCAAAGCAAGTCATAACATATATAAGTTAAAAACCATAAAATCAAGTGAAACACAATGATTCAAATTAACTACAACATAATATTTAAGGTAAAATATATTAAATAATAAATATAATTATATAACTATAATTAAAAAATAAATTTGGGGTTAAAAAAATCATAACAAAATGATATTGTTTGGTTTAATTTTTTTTTTAAAAACAATCTCACATGGCTAAAAAACATAGAAGAGCATCCCAAAAGTCTAAAGAGTAAAAATATGAGAACAAAACAATCTCACATTGCTAAGAAATATAAAAGCGCATCACAACTAACTTCTATAAATAATAGAGGTAATTTGGCATTCAAAATCATGGAGCCTTTTGGTGAGCATTGAGTGAATTATTATTTCACTTCAATCAAGCTCGAATTTTAGGCTTCAATCGAGCTTCTAATTTTTTTTTTTTTTTGAGTTCAAGCCTTTTTGAGTTCAAGTTTCAATATTATATTTCGAGTTTGAGTTGAATTTGATAATTTTTAACTTGTGAGTTTGAGTTGAGTTGAGCTTACTTTTAAAGTTTTCAAGTTCGAGTCGAGCTCAGCAATATTCGAGTTCGACTTGGCTCGTTTAACAAACGACGTTGTTTGGTTTAATTTTTAAAAAAAAACAAAACAAAAATCCCGGTTTCAGCCGGTCCGGTTCGAACAGTTTAGCGATTCTGGCCGGTTCACTAATAGCGGTTCAACCGATTTAGATTGAATCGGACTAAGCAACGGTTCCCGGTTGAACCGGCCGATCCGGTCCGGTTTTCAAAACAGAGGTAGGCACACCCTACTTTAAAATTCGAATTTATTTATATTAATTATTTATTTTATTATTAATATTTATATTAAAATTTTATTTGTATTTATTTTATAAATTATTTTTTATTATTAATATATATATTCATTCTAAAAATATATATCTAAATCCTTCGTTTACATAAGAAACAAAGATGTCAATTGTTGTTCCATAAATCATGCTGATTCAGATATTCCTTTTTTAAGGAGTAGACAAGAATATGTGACATGCATGTAACCGGTTGGAAATAGACATCTTTGCGGCAATGTCGTTCCTTTTTTACACGTAAGAATTAGGGCACGAGTGGTCAAGGGAGACATGATCCTCTCAATCTTATTTTATGTCATCATTATGTGGCAATTGACTAAATGGTTTACACCCATTTCTGATGTTTGCAAATAAAAGGATATTTATGGAATTAATATTTAATTTAAATAATTGCTATAATTATTTTTTTAGAAAATTGAAATTTAAAATAAGTTTAGTTTAATTTAACTATGTTTGTATTTCTACATTGCTACTTAAAATTATTTTTGTTCTAATTTAGATAGGTCGAGCTTCTAAAAGATTATGATTTCTTGATCGATTATCATATGAAGAAAGCTAATGTATTGGCTGACACGCTGAGTCAAAACACTTTTCCTGTTTTGAGAGCCTTGATGCACAACTATCCTTGAGAGATTATGGTGATCTGTTAGCCGAATTGTAAGTGGATCCTATCTTGGTAGACCATATTAGAGAGCTCCTGTTGGTAGACGAAAAAATCATGATGTTGGAGATTTATATCCCCAACGATGAAGACCTGAGATAAGATATTTTACAAGAGATTCAGTGTATCCCGCTCGCAATGCATCCAAGGGGTACTACAATGTATCAAGATTTGAAAAGATGCTTTTGGTGGTTGGGAATGATGAGGGTCGTGATGGAATTTATTCCTAAGTGATTGACATGTAGCAAGTGAAAGTTGAACATAAAGTATTTTCTGGGTTGTTAGAATCGATAACTAATCCACAATGAAAATATGAAGGAGTTACGATGGATTTCATATCGAGACTTTCGTTATCTCTAAACAAGAAAGATTTTATGTGGGTAATAATGGATTGACTCACCAAGTCGTCACATTTCGTTTTGGTTATAATATATTATTCTATAAAAAAAATATAGAAAGTTGTATAGTTGAGAGGTTCTGAGACTTCGTGACATGCCAATTTCTATTATTTTAGATTGTGAATTGAGGTTGACCTTGAGGTTTTGGGGTTCCTTGCTTAGTCCCTTGGGAATACGATTTCATCCTCAAATAAGTAGTTAATATGAGAAAATTATTCAAATCCTTGAAGACATGCTATGTGCTTGCATGATAAAGTTTGAAAATCGGGTATCCGTACCCGGTTATCATTTTTTTAATTCAAAAAATTTCAAAAACAAATCACGTAAAAAACCCATAAATTTTTTAAAATTACTAATTCGTAATCCATAAACAAAAATTAATGATTTGAAATTAGTTTTAAGAATAAATATTTAGATATATATATATAGTAAATTTTATTTTAAAAAATTAAAAATATTAATATTGATATTGAATTTTTCCTTTGAATCTCATATTAACAAATTAATAAAATTATTTTAAAAAAATAAAATTTAAAAGTACATAATACAAATCTAGAAAAAAAAATTAGCAATTTAAATTTAGTTTTAAGGTAAAAATATTAAAGAATCTAAAATAAAAATATAATTTAAAATTAATATATATATATGTATATATTAAAACTACCGAATCGGGTTGGATACCCGATTATAAAAAAAAAAATCGATCTAGACCTGGCACAACTATACGAGAAAAATCATGGACAGATACCCGGTCCAGCCGAATAATTTTTTTAAAAAAAAATTACCCGATTTTTTTAAGGTTTTGGTTGGTGATTAGCGAATCAAATCAACCGAATCGGATAATTTTAAACACCCCTAGTTGGAGATATTTTTTTCCTTCGCCTTCTGTCCTATAGGTTTTTAATTGATTTTTTTTTAATGTTTCGGACTTTTTCAACAACTTATTGATTATTGATGCTTATTGTTAAGTCGTTGTAATCGAATTCATTGAATAATTAGAATACTTCCGTTACTTGTGATTTGTTAGCCGAATTGCAAGTGAATCCGACTTTGATAGACCATAATAGAGAGCTTCAGTTGGCAGACGAAAAATTCATGATGAAATCAAGCCAGATGGGTGTTTATACTAGGAGGGAGGATTTATATCCCCAATGATGAAGACTTGAGACAAGAGACTCGGTGTATTTTTCTCACAATGCATCCATGGGGTAATAGAATGTATCAAAATTTGTAAACACTTTTGGAGGTCGGGAATGAAGAGGATCGTGATGGAATTTATTGTTAAGTGTTTGATATGTCAACAAGTGAAATTTGAACATAAAGTACATTTTGGATTGTTGCAACCGATAACTATTCCTCAATGGAAATGAGAAAGAATTACAATAGATTTTGTGTCGTGACTTCGTTATTTCCAACTAAAAAAGATTCTATGTGAGTAACAGTAGATCGACTCACCAAGCCAGCACACTTAATTTCGGTTATAATAAATTATTCTATAAAAAATATACGAAGTTGTATATTTGAGAGAGTGTGAGACTTCGTGACATACCAATTTCTATTATTTTAAACCGTGATCTGAGGTTCACCTCGAGATTTCAGGTTCCCTACCTAGTCCCATGGAAACACGATTCCATCCTCCAATAAATGACCAATATGAGAAAGTTATTCAAATTTTTGAAGACATGCTATGTTATTGCATTATAAGGTTTAAAGATTCATGAGACATATTTATCATTAACAGAGTTCACATATAGTATCAATCAAACATCAAGATAGCCCCGTAGTAGACTTCTGAATGGTAGGATATATCTTTTCCTTCGCCGAGTTTCTATCATATAGGTTTTTAATTGATTTTTTTCCCGACTTTTTCAACGACTTATTGATTATTGATGCTTATTGCTAAGCCGTTGTAATCGAACTCATTGAATAATCAGAATCCTTCCGTTACTCTGATATATTAACTATGTTGTTAATAAAGAACCCTAATGCTAGCATGATTGCACAATTATTAAATGAAATCAACTTTGGATCATTCGGAAGTCGTGTATGGAAATGGATAATGAACTGAAATAGTTGGAAGCATCACATTACCATATTATAGTGAGTATAACGTGAGACCCGTATTGGTTGTTGATCCAACTGATGGCCATTTTTTGACTACTTTAGGATCATTAAGATCCCACATCAAGATTCTTTGAGATTAGCAGAAAAATATGGTCAACTCTTACCTAGTGTTTAGATTTATTTATGTTTCATCCATACATGTGCCATTTTGACCCCCCCCCCCAAAAAAAAATACTTGGGAGTGAAAAATTACCCTATATAAACCCGTCCAAAAAAGTATCCAAACATGATTCAATACTCGCCAATGATTAGTATCAGAGAAGTAAAACCGGATCGCTCGATTACCTTCAAATTGCTGCGAAGTAATCTTTGCTGAGTTTTGGGTCTGGTTTCATGGATTTCTCCCCAGGCTTCCACCCAGCTGGGCAAACTTCGTCTGGATTTTCCTGCACGTACAGTAAGGCCTGCAAGAAAAAAAAAGTGCCAAAAACCAACTTATATGGCAACATGTTACAAAGGAAAATTCAACATAAAGCAAGCAACTTACGATTCAACTCTTAAACCAATTTGGGAGAGGTTCCCAACACCCTGGCCTCCATAAATGGCACTAAGCACATGTATCGAAATGGAACTTTAGACTATTGCAAAACCAGCCTGGTAAAATGTAATTACCTGGAGTGTCCGCATTGTTTCATCGACACTTCGCCCAATTGCAAGGTTGTTAATAGTAGAGTGCTGGATAACCCCCTCCTTATCTATAATGAAAAGTCCTCTCAAGGCAATTCCCTAACATCCAAACTCAATTTGTAAGAATCATGTTTCGAATAGGGCAATATGGGGATAAGCAGAGTTAAGAAGAATGTCATTATCTGTTGCATGTATATGCATTTCATTGGTCCAGATAAATCCTGAACTTATTAAATCCATTTCAGCAAATATAACATCCATCCTCACCTAGAATGCAAAGAAGGTCCTCGGACTGAAACTAAAATATAGATACACATAAAGCGGGGATAGTTGATATCCTAAATATCAATACTGACAATGATTGGGAAGGAAATATGTCTTTGCAGGAATTACTCTTCTAAATCTGAAGCACTAGAAGTCGAGAATCATCAATTGTCAAAAAAAAAAAGAACTATAAATTCTTTTTAAAATAACCTGTGCTGCTTTTTCTTAATTCAAGCAGTCGAATGCACAGAGACTCCATGTTGGTATGCTGTAGCACAAGCAAAACACACTTTTAAAAAAGCATAAGATTGAACACCATTCAGCCATAATTTCAGCTTGGAATGATGGATAGATCGAGTAAGATGGAATGGGGCTGGAAAACAACCTCTAGACCTCATCTTATTTTCTCAAAAAAAAACTGTTTGGCTCTATTTTTAAAAACAAAACCTTAACGTTTGACCACATCAATGTAGGCTTACCAAACATTAAAAGAAAATAAAAGATGAAAAAACAGTTCTCTTTTTTAACACAAAACCTTCACGTTTGACCCCAACAATCTTGGCTTACCGAACATTAAAAGAAAAATCAGTTCCAAGAGATGAAATAAATGAACCCTGAGGGATAAGGAATATAGATATATATATATACATATAGACGTATACGCAAAGCAATAATATAAACCCCTTCGGTGAAAATCCAGCCGACCAATGGGCACATCCCAATAATTACCAAAGGGAAACCCTACCAAATGTGATATGCAACATTCTTGCGTGCAACGTATTCAAAATGTTAAAGTAAAAAACAGTTTGCCAACCCAGGATTAGATACTAGAAAACATGAAGTTATCTCATACCTGATCATGAATCAGCACTCTATAAGATTTTGAAATTGACTTGGTGACATCAGATATAAGTGGTACTTCAAATCACCAAGACCACCAGACTATCTGTTTGAACCCAGGCAAGGTGAGAGAACTGCATAGAGAGTAATCTGAGGTAAAGTTTTGTATACCTTGGATGCAAAAACACATGTTAAACTATAATGTAATGATGTATACTTCATTAGAAAATTACATATTCAGATGCTGCAATAAACATATTGATGCTGCTACAACACAACAAGTATGATGCAAGCTATTATAAGCACAGTTACATAGACAATAAAAGGAAATTAAAATAACGAGCATCAGCTTAGCCCTTAGTATAATATCAATTTCTCCATATTCTATATGCAAATAAGGAGCGTTTACTGGAGTCTGGAGATAGATAATAAAGTAACAAATCTTTAATTGATTGTAAAGAATTAATACATCATTTAAGCCAGAGGTTTTCAGTAACAAGGAGCTTACAACACTGTCAATAGAAACACCTAGTATTTCTGTGTTTAACTTCTCAAATTCTTCATAACGGTCACTAAAAGGAGTAATCTCTGCAAAAATGTAATTGGGGAGGTAAAAATTATGAATAAGAACCAAATATCGTATAAAACTTCAACATAAATGTTCAGATAGAAACAAACCTGTGGGACAAACAAATGTGAAATCCAGTGGGTAGAAGAAGAGAATCATATATTTCTTCCCAATGTATTCAGAGAGCTTGACCTGAAACAATAATGCATGATCCCGAATGAAGTTGAAAAAAAAAAGTTTCATATCAAAATAGGAAAAGTGGTGAAGGGCCCAAATATACTTCAACAAACATCCATATAACATACCTTGATGAACTCTGGATCGAAGACAGCCTCTGCCTCGAAATCGGGAGCAGTATCGGGTTTTATATTGGAGGGCATGGGTTCTATATTGGGTTACCCGCCTCCACACATTTTGGGCAAACCCGAGATTTACCCAATCTCATTTCTTCTAGGCTTATATCCCTAAAGTATATTATTTTTAGACTTTAAATAAAAAATATTTAAATTATTTTTTTCATTTAAGTGTTTAAACATTTACATGTCAATGTAATTTTTTAATATTAAAAAAATTCATTATCTTGCATGTGTTGTGTTTATATTTTTTAAAATATTTTAATTTAAAAATATTATTATTTAAAAAAATATATTTTCTAAAATCTCAAAAACACCCCCAAATAGTTTAGAATTCTTAATTTCAATCCATTATTACTTCCTCTTGCCACCAATATCGTTGATCGCCATCACCAATGTCACAAATAAATGTGAAGGCAACGTGGTTGTTGTTTTCACTAAAAGGTTTGTCAATGACCGATAATTATTGATTAGGGTTTAAGAATTGTGCAATTGAGATTCTTAATAATTTTAGAATTTAGGGATTTAAGACGACGAAAAGGATTATGGTTAATCAGTAAATGAGCGGCAACGCATAAGTGGTCGGTTGACGATGAATGAGTTATCAAAGATGATTGACAATAAGAGAAAATATATTAGAATTAGGGTTTTAAGAATTTGAGTTACTTTTTCAAAATTAAAATTTTTTAAGGTTTTTTAAAATAATAATACGTTTAAGGTTTTTTAACAATTAATTTTTTTTTAAATATAAACACAAAACGTGTCAGATAACAGACTTTTTTAACGGTTGTGATGGATGTACTTAAAATAATAGTGTTCATAACGTTAGACACCTACAGTAATCGAAAAAAAGTAGTTTGAACATTTTTTTTATATTAAGTATTTTTTATGGCTTAATTGAAAAGTAAGTAATTAAACTATATTCTTTATTTCACTTTTGGCGTCTAACGTATTTTTCGCTTAAGTTAAATGTCTAACATTTTTAACGCTTCCATTTTAGGTGTTTAGTTCATCACGATCGTTAAAAGAATCGCCAATCATTCAAAATGAGATACATGCGTATAAATTTTAAAAGAAATATATTTAAAAAGATTAAATTTATTATTTAATTTTTTTTCTAAAATCTAAAAAAAACTAAACTCTTAAAGTTATTAATTCTAAACCCCTATTACTATCGTCAATTGTTGTTTTGGTTACCAAAAAACCCTCCATCTGTCGTCCCCCACCCAATGATTGATCGCCCTTGACGTCGCCTCAACTCCTTAAATCCATAAATTTTTAAACTTAAATTCCTAAATCTCTAAAATCTTTGATACCCAAATTCCCTAAATTCTTAAACTTAAATTCTTAAATCTTTGATACCCAAATTCCCTAAATTCCTTATCGACAATTGGTGTAGTGACAGTGATATACAACAACTACGTGCAATGAAGGTGATAGATGGCCCGTATGAATGAGATTTCACGGCCTTTTGGTGCAAGGTAAATTTGTGAGTTCTTTGAATTTCGACGTTTTTCCCGAAAAATCACCGTTGAATAGTATATTTTTTGATCAGACACCCGTCAGACTATATTTCTCGATCTAACACCTATTGCAGTATAGCGCGCCCCAGGGGGAGCGCTTTATCATACGTGGCGTAAAGTGCGCCCCCTGGGGCGCGCTATACCTAATTTGTAATAAACCCGGGTGTTAGTTTTGTAAATATTTTTAAACTGGTGTCTAATATGTAATTAATTTATGTTAGGGTGATATTTGTGTAAAACTGCCAACTTCAAAACAAACCCACATGTTTTTACTGTCTTTCTTTTAATAATAATTTTTTTAATATTTAATAATATTTAATAATATTTATTAACTTTTAAAATTAATTTTTTAAAAATATTAAAAAAATTATTATTCACTTTTTAAAAAATAAATAAATATTAAATTTTAATTTTATTAAAAATGAATAAACATTATTAACTGTTGTTAAAAAAAATAATTAATGAATAATAATTCATTTGATCTCTGAAGTGTAATTAAAAGTTTATTTTAGTATTTTTTATATTTTTAAACAATTAATTTTAAAATATTGTATTTTCAAGACCTAAAGTCAAGTTTATGATTGTTAAACAGTCGTAGGTGTGGAAAGCTACAGGGATCGAATGAAAATTCGATCATACAAAGTTAATAACTCAAAATTGTCTAACTGCTGTCTAAATATCAACTCAATTGTACCACGAATAAACATTCGATCAAAGAGTTGATCTTTTCTGCTCAATCTTCACAAAAACTATTTTGTCTCATCATTTTCTCCCGCGTATGAACTCCTTTTTTTTATAACATTCATGCAAAAGAATATATGCATTAATAATATTTATAATGTTTATTCATTTTTAATAAAATTAAAATTCAATATTTATTTAATATTTAATATTTTATATTTTTTAAAATTAATATTATAAATAATATTTTAAATAAAGATGTGATATTTTTTAGCTTTACATTATATTTTTATTGAATTTTATTCATTTTTAATTCTTTTTTATTGCATTTTTATTTATTTTATATTTTTTATAATTAATATTATAAAGAATATTTTAAATAAAGAAATAATAATTTTTAAGTCTGATTTGTTTGCAACAGTCAATCAAACAAAAAGGGCAAAACAAAAGTGATTAGCATTGAATTAAAAAGCACATCTTGCAAGACAACTTTAACTCCCTGCATTGGCAGTGGTAGTGCCAACCACAAATAAATAAAAGCAAAGACTTAGCTGAATTCTCCAAATAATACAAAGGATCATAGCAACGTTTTAAGGCTGTCAAATTATGCTATTAATTCATATATTATATATAAAATATAAATTTAATTATTTTTATTTAATTAAATTGTATAACTTTTCTATAATTATTATGTGGAAATAACAAGTTAACTTTTCTGTAATAATATTAATATATTTCTAAATAAAAAAAATTAAAGCTAAACAAAAAGGATAATTAAAATCGAATAATAAATTGTGGGAGTAATACATTGTAATTGAATCCGTCATAGTAAGGTAAATGTAATTTAAATCTGGCAGCGGAAGAGACAAAAGAAAGACAGTAAAAACGTGTGGGAGCCATCAAATATTCTTTGCAGAATTGTTTGTCTAAAGGTGCATATTGGTTTGTTTTGAAATTGGCATTTTTACACAAATATCATCCTAACATAAATTAATTACATATTAGGCACCAGTTTAAAAATATTTATAAAACTAACACCCGAATTTATTACAAATCAAGTATAGTGCGCCTCAGGGGTGCGCTTTACGCCACGTATGGGCGCGCTATTCTGAAATGGGTGTTAGATCGAAAAATATAATCTGACGGGTGTCTGATCAAAAAAATATACTGTTTAACGATGATTTTTCGAGAAAAAACGCCTTGAATTTCAAGTTTTTCTTTTTCATGTCATTTGTAAAATCAGTAACATTTGACTGATGTGTAGGGATTTAAGGGCGACAACAACAACGAAGGAGACGGTTGACAAGGGATGGTCGGCAAGTTTTTTATGACACGGGATGATGCTTTGGGTTTAGAAATTTTAGTAGTTTTTCTAATATTTAAAAAAATAAGTATTTTAAAAAAAAATAATTTTAAGTTTTTAAAAATAAAACTTTTCAAAATATATAAATGCGATATGCAACACATTTTGAGTAGTTGATAGTCTTTTTAACAATAAAAAGTTTTTACTAACATATTATTCTCTTTTTTGTAGGATCATTTTTTACAAGACACATATTTAACATTTATTTTTCTTATATTTTATTGTTATTATTGTTATTATTATAGCTAACATAAATTTTCCCCCTTTTTAATGTTATTCAAATTTACTTTTTAAGTTCAGACAACATTTTGAAGCTATCAATTTTGAGCATAGTAGGAATGTTATATTGTTCTCACACATAATCGATTCTCGAACTCGCTTTGATTTCGAGGTTAGGAGCAGATTAACATTTATGAATATTCGATTATACCAAATCGAAAACTATCGATGATGACTCTAATCACATGATGAATTTTGTTTTTTTTAAGGAAAACATTAAAACCACCGAAAGATGACTTACAATTTTCCATAAGTAATGAGGGGCATTTTTAGCACATAAATTTTTATAATGAAATAAAAAGTTATATACTTTTATATTATACTCATATTACTTGGATTTTTTCCACTCATAGATTATAGAGATTGTCGCGGTCGTCTTATGGGTGGGCCTGGAATTGGGCTTCGACTTGAATGAATTGGGTTAGAGTCGTCACCGATCACTTTAAAAAAACATTTAGGTGGATCGGACACCATCTTACCTGATCTACGTTTTACAAGAAATGTGTCGGGTTCGGGAGTCGGTTACGGTCAAGGAAGGATTAGCACTCTTGAACAGCCCTTTCGGTACCAATTAATTTGTCGGTTGTCTTTGATTGCGAAAATTAAAAAAATTAAATTGAAATTTATAAATCCGATTCGAACTAATTACCTTTGATCGATTGAAAATATACCTAAAAAATTAAAAATGTTAGATCGTAAAATAAAATATTAAATGAAATGACAGAAACAAAAATAATAATTATAAAAAATGTTAAGAAATAAAAAACTTATATATGTAAAATGACATAGTTTCTCTATGTACTGTATTACAAAAGAAACACTTATCTATCACTGAAAAATTAATACGAAAAAAAAGATATTGATAGGTATGCAATCCAACGATACTGATTTTCAATATCGGTAAGTGTTTTTGCTTTGATGACTTCGAATACTATAAAAGCAATTCCGTATAGGTTGAGATTTACAACCATTGTAAAGTCATTCCTACAGCTCGCAAGCACTACTCTTCTTGTTGAATTCAGAGTGATGCAACTCACCATGGACCATATGAAACGGTCTCTACCATTGACGTAAAAGAAGAAAGGACTTTATAAGGTATTCAATCACCAAAATCCGAAGAGAACGAAACAGCAACCAAAATAGTTCCTGCCCGGAAAGCACGACAATGGCAGCATCCCTTC